CGTCCTTCTAGTCACTTTGTCACTCGTAGTGCAAATATAGCATCAGGCCTGTTTTACCTCCAGACAAAGCTAAGCTAGCTCATTCTCTCTGTCCTCATGCTAAGTACTAAGTTAAGCTAACAGCCAGGCTGTCGCTTCATATTTGACATTTGACATTTGCAGATTTTAAAGCTCCCACATTGTGCCCCATCCATCCATCCATCCATCCATCTATCCCAGCTGACTTGGGGTGAAGGCAGGTTCACCTGGACAGGTAACCAGTCTATCACAGGGCTACACTTAGAGACAGACAACCAAGCACACTCACATTCACACCTACGGACAATTTACAATCACCAATTAACCTCAGCATGTTTCTGGACTGTGGGAGGAAGCCGGAGAACCCGGAGAGAACCCACGCTGCATGGGGAGAACATGGAGACTCCACGCAGAAAGATCCCGGGTGTCCTCACCGGGACGCCAACCGGGGATCTTCATGAAGGTACAAACCACCGACCAAACCCCCTTCAGGAAGAAGACTCTCTCTGCAGGTATGACTAACAGCATGAAGCTAAACAGTTGAAACTGAAGTTAGCTCAGCCGTGATCGAGTGTCTCAGATCAGAACTTTCTGTCACTTCTATCTGAGCCTTCGTCTGTAGCTCAGGTCTGTGATGAATTTGTCAGACAAGGTTGCCATTATAAAGTCAGACGTGCTGTGGCTGGTTAATGCCTCTGAAGTGACGCCACTAAACACATCGTCTTCATGGGCTGATCCTGCTATCTGGAAACATTAAAAAAATGTGAATGAAAACAGATTTATTGGGACTCCAGGTGTATTAAAGTCCAGCATATGTGAGCACAGAGAGCAGGAGAGAGCTACATAAACCCTCCAGTCCTTGTTTACTGGTTTCCAGTTGGTCTTTAAGTGTCTGAATGTCTGTCAGAACCTTAACCAGTGGACTTATGATCAAAGCTGTTGCTAAAATTAGCACTTTCTAATCGCTATGGTAGCATTGCCATTAAAAATAAAAGCAATCCACTGAGTTTTTCATTGCTCAGATGCTGGGAGTGCATGAAAACATGTGTGCTCACTCCTGCAGCCAGAAGCAACACGTTTGTTCTGCTCGTGGTTGAGACGTATTGAGCTGGCAGAAGCAGTTTTAGAAAGTAAACCGACCTGGCATACCTGAGAGGCAGCTGCTTCTTCTGAACCGATCACCTGGAAGCATTGAGGGGACAGGATTATATAAAGTCTATATAAAGAGCCAGACGGCTATTGGCTCTTCAGCTGGAACATGGCAGCCCAGTAAACGTCTTACTGGCTCGTAGAACTGTGAAGCTGTGACGTTGTTGGAAGATGTCTGTGAAGATCCTCAGTCATCCAGGTCAGGGTTATTCTGGTAGTTTCATCGTAGCAACTGGACCTGCTTGAGTTCCTTGAAGACGTTCCACCTCTCATCCAAGAGGCTTCATCAGCTCTGTTTTTTTTTTTTAAAACCCAGATTTAGGTGTTAATGTCTCCTTCAGGATGTCAGTATGTGGAACTCCCAACTAGTCAGTCAGAGCTGATGAAGCATGTGGATGAAGGTGGAACATCTTCAAGGAACTCAAGCAGGTCCAGTTGTTATGATTAAACTATGAGAATAACGTTGTTGGAATGGCAGAAGTAGACGTCTGTATTTATTAACAGCTTTTATTTTACGCCTTCAAATCTTTAACAACCACAATAAAGTGAAAGTGGATTTTTTTAACGGGGCGCTTAACATTAATTCATTAAATATCTGATTCATAACTTATTCCAAACACTCAGCCTGCTGGTATTCCACCGGAGAGGACGCTGTGGATGCTCTCCAGGCCTTTCCTTTATACATGATCTCTCCCTATACATGATGTTGCATTGTTCTGCATGTTATCTGCAGCTGAGCGGGCAGCTGTGCCAGCAGCACAGGACGTGCACGGCAGCAGCAAATGAGGTAGCCCCGGGCCGAGGCTGCTGCTGCTGCCGGGACTGGCTGGCCGCTGGAGAGAGTGGGCTGCATTATGTGGTTATTGTGCTGTATCGGCTGCAGCCTGTGTGAGGGGGTGGGCTGGTGGACCACAGATGTCCTTGCCCCGAGCTTTCTCTACATGAAAACCTGCACTGTTTTGGAAGAAGCACCGGCCCAGAGTGACGTCACGCTGTGCAGCGGGACTAATTCCTGGAGTCACATGTGGAGGGTTAAATCTTAGTGAAGGAAACACAAGCAGCACGGTGTCATGGCTCCAGGCGTGAGGAGAGCTGTTGTTCTGTCAGACTAGCTGCTTGTAGTGTAATATCACCACCACTGACTGTCATCTGCTCTTCAGGAACAAGAGTGTTTCATCAGTTTAGCCACGTTTTTGTTCTTTTCTTTGCGCCTGCTGATGAAACAGATGCTTAAACGCATATATTAAGCATTTAGTGCAGGAGAAAGAAGACAAGTGTGAAAGAAAACAACATTAAATTAAATATAAGCGACCTGAGAGAGAGGTGGCGATGGAGTGTCGGTGAGAAGCACAGGAGCCTGCTGCCCTCTAGTGGCCAACACTCTGCTCCCCGTGTAACGCAATATGCCACAGCCGAGATGAGAATGAATTATTCATAAAAGACGGGATGATAAAGCAGTATTTCACAGATGTTAGATATGAGATGTCACTGATAATGCAGGGCTGATATCAAACACTTGCTTGTCTCTAAAAAAAAATAAGTCTAATCTCGTGGACAAGCTGTTGTTGGTGTTCTAAAGCGATCTCCATAATGCTGTAAGTACTGCGAGACACGCTGGCTTTTATATTGACTCCCTGAGGCAGCAGTAATTAGTGGATTATAGACTTTTCCCCCCTTTTTTTCTTATCATCTGAACTCCAAGCTGCTTACTGGCAGCCAGCCCTTTCACCTGTGGGTGACATGCATCATCAGGTTGGCTCACCTCCTCCTCGCTTCTGTTTTTATGAATGTCAACAGCTCCGGCCTCCCCGTCTCTCCCACAGATTAACCCAGCGGTGCCAGGCAGCAGCAGCACAGGGGCGGTTCAGGTTTAATGTTTAAGCTTTTACTCACCCCCTCCACACACGCTGACCAATCGGCTTGCGTGTGTGGAGCCGAGCGTCTAACCTCGGCAGTGAGTCACCTGAGAGGCCGAGCGGGGCGAGCTGAGTGGGCCTGCTGGACACGGCGGCCATTTTACAAACAGGTGTCACATCTCCTGTGTGCTTCAAAAAAAACCCTGACACTCAGAGGAGCTGAGATCTGCCTGATCAGAGAGTAAGGTAAGCTGCTGGGCTGTGAGCTGTTCGTCCTGCTGCCTTGTTGTCGCTCTGCGCTGACAGCTTCACGCCTGTACACGAGTACAGAAGACCAGAAGCTTGTTGTGAGTCACAGCTCTGTAATCAGTAGAACCTGAGCAGCTCTGTGGTCACGTCCTGAGCTGTTAGAGGCGCTGGTGTGTTTGTGGTGACGCTCCACAGACGGGGATCAGTGGGTTTAGAGCACATGTCCACTGACTGCTTTACAGTTAACAGCTGAGTTTTAGAAATCTTTCATTTCCTTCCAGTATTAGACTCTTTAAACGGGTCTCATGTATGTGTGAGCCTCCACCTACACCATGATGATGTAGCTCTGACAGACAGCATCAGGGCCTTTCTGTTTGCTGTAGGCCATCACATTTAAAGCTGCAGTAACAAACCCACTGGTGCAGCATCTCCAGTCCATTGTTCTACGGCTGACAACTTTTGGTGAAGTCTCACTGCTCTCATTGTTTCTGCTGCAGCCAGCAGCTGTTTTCATTGGAACGCTGTGTACGCCACCTGCTCGCCACCAGACAGACACGATCAGCAGCTAGCTGGTGAACATAGAGGGACGTTCACCTGTTAGATCTCTCAGTCAGTGTTGGAAGGCAAAGCGAAGGTAGGAGCAGAGTGAATGTTGGGTTTATATCAATAAAGCAGCTCGAAACAAATGCTGGTGCTGCTTCCAGCGTGATGGATCGTAAACAGAAAAGAACGCTTAGTGCAGGTTGAGAGTTTCTTATCATTCAGTTATATAACTACAACCTGCGAACACACTGGTGTGGTCCTATAAGGCTGCTGGAGTGAAGGCTTTTCCATTAGACTGCAAAACAAAGGCTCTAGTTTTATATCTGGGTTCTTTCTACGTCTCAGTGCTGACAACAACCGTGACTGGAGGCTTTGGGTTCTCTGTCCATCCCAACATCATGTCTCTAGCCACCTTTAGCTTAGACTTTGGTGGTCAAAAGTCGAAGGTTAGGTCACTGTGAGCTCACAGAACACATCGCTGGCCGCAGCTCAACTCATTAGCCGGATACCTCAGCAACACTTTGAAGGAGTTTCTTTAAATGTGGTGAAAACGTTCGCTCAGTGATGTTAGATCTCGGTGGTCAGAGGTTACTGCGACCTCAAGAAACATACTTCTGACCACACTTCATGTGACACCAATGACGAATTTACATCAATCTCTAACGATGATGTGATAAAAGTTCACGGTGACGTCATTATGTCCTGCAAAAACACATTTCTGACCATTTCACGGCGTCATCGCTCAGGAACAGGAGGAGGCTTTGTGACTGTATTTCACATCTGGTCGGATTCTGAGGTTGGACATAAGTTTAGGGGCCCACCTACTGAATGCCATCAAAGTTTTTTACTGAAGATAAATAAGTCTGCACAGACATGGATGTAAACTGGTGGAGGCATACAACCTCTAGGCAGTAATTTGTTATAACAGTTCAGAGTTCATTGAATGTGATGAAAGTTTAAAGCTAATAAGTCTTGTTGTTTTTCTTTTGGAATCAAATTTAAATCATGGGCTGAGCTACTGAGGCTCCAACCTGTTACTTATAGACGCACATAGAACCATAATATATAGGTAACTATGTGCGTACATGTGACCAAAACAACACTAACATGGTTTTTTCTTCCTCATCCAGTATCAGAGAGTTTCTGTGATTACTTCTCGATGGATCGTCAAAATCAACCTGCAGCATGAAATCCTGGAGCAGGAGATTCAAGAGAGAAGAAGATGGGAGCGTGGACGGGTCCTCCGCCAGCAGCAAGACCCCCGTCAGGGATCCTTCAGTGCCTGTGTGGGTCACTCACACGCCCACACCGGACAACATCACAGACGACGGGGACGAGGACTCCACATCCAGCACTGCATCTTCTGCTGACAAACAGAACAGAGACATGAAAGGCAACATGAAAGACCGGCTGAAATCCCTCATCCCCCAGTCATGGGCCGGCATCATCCATAAAAGGACAAAGGAAAGTGACTCTGAAGCCGGCTCAACCGGGATCCAGATCCTTCCCAACGGGACCAGAGTGAGCCCTCCTGTGAGTCCGCTGGTGGAGCGCAGGGCCTGGGATGGATCAATGGGAGGCTCCAGCCACAACTCACACAAGCCGCTGTTAAGGGAAAGTCCTACTGATGATCTGTTTTATCACAGCCTGCAAGAGGAGTCTCTTCTGACCAGCATCCACCCTGCAGAGTACTACGCAGAGAAGGTGGAGGTCTACAAACAGAAGTACTCCTATTTGAAGTCGTGGCCAGGGCTGCTCCGGCTTCTGGCTGGACTTCAGCTCCTGTTTGGGGGAATGGTCTTTGCATGTGTCATCGCCTACATTCAGAAAGACAGCGAGTGGTCCAACACCTACAGACTCTACAACGGCGTGTATAACAACGGGCTTGGCGTGTCAGGGTACAGCTACAGCGGCCCCATGACTCCTTTCATCTTGGCTGTAGCTGGAGTCTCGTGGATCATTACCTTTTGTCTCTTGGTGATGGGGATGACCATGTACTACCGCACCATCCTCCTGGACTCCCTCTGGTGGCCCCTGACGGAGGCCTTCATTAACGTGGCGCTGTTCCTGCTCTACATGGCGGCAGGGATCGTATACCTGAACGACCTGAACCGCGGAGGGCTGTGCTACATGACTATCGGCGTTAACCCCATCATGTCCAACCTGTGTCGCGTCGACGGGGGCCAGATGGCAGGCACGGCTTTCATCTTCATCAACATGACGATGTATCTGGCCAGCTTCCTGGTGTGTCTGAAGATGTGGAGGCATGAAGCCACGCGGCTGGAGAGGCAGCACTTTGAGAATCAGGTACTGTTGGAGATGAGAGATAAGACTGTTGTGATGGAACTGCATTTAAAGGCCAATATAAGATGTTCTCTTCATGAATACAGTCTGGACGCATGGATTCACACTAGATTACTGATATAGAAAGAGTTCCTATCACAGGTACTACACTCAGCATCCATACATGTTTAACCCCTTCAGCCTTATGTGTCTCATTTAACTCTGACTTTGCTGCTGACCTTAAGGTGTGAAACAGGAAGTTGTCTACGTAGATGGTGTTTGGGCATCATCCTCCCACTTTTAATCACCTTTTAAGTTATCAAATCGAGTATATCAGGGCTGCTCGGTGGTTAGCACTGTCACCTCACAGCTAGAAGGTCGCTGGTTGGCGTCCTGGTGAGGACCCCCGGGATCTTTCTGCGTGGAGTCTCCATGTTCTCCCCGTGCAGCGTGGGTTCTCTCCGGGTTCTCCGGCTTCCTCCCACAGTCCAGAAACCTGCTGAGGTTAATTGGTGATTCTAAATTGTACGTAGGTGTGAATGTGAGTGTGCTTGGCTGTCTGTCTCTAAGTGCAGCCCTGTGATAGACTGGTTACCTGTCCAGGTGAACCTGCCTTCACCCTGAGTCAACTGGGATAGACTCCATCCCCCAGCACCCCAGTGAGGGTTAAGGTGTAGTGATGATGAATGGATGTAGCATATCCACTGTGACATACAGTGAAGGCTGCAGTGACACTCCTGCTGGCTGCTTATGTGACTCCTGCTGATCTGCTGTGGACTTGCTGGGTATTGATAGATCAGCTTTATTCCTGCTGGCTGATGCCGTGGCAGCCTTCCAAGACTCACCCTAAAGCTATGAGCTGTGTTCTTCTCCTCTTTATTGACCATGCAGCTGTCTTTATATATAGGTGCCAGACACAGATCAGTTAGGGGAAGTGGACTTTGTTCTGCTTCAGTGTGTGCTGCTCCAGGTTGTAAAACAACGTTGTCAGTTGGGCCAATTCCACCAGCTCACAAAGCAATAAAAGGGCTCACAGTTAGTGGATTAGGAGGAGCACGGTTTCACCTGTCAGCGTTGTTAACACTGTCATCACCTGTGTCTTTAACACAGGGACAGCATAGCATAGTGGCACATACACACCTCTGTGCAGACAACAATAGCTGATAATGACAGAACAACATCAGCGCTGCTCCAGTGACCACCTGGATGGTCAACAAGACTGAAAGCAGGTCTGTAATCAAACAAAGAAGGTCTTCCATCCATCAGTTTTCTGATGTTATCCAGAGTCATGGCGGCAGCATGCAAACCACAACATGCTGTGTCTCACACTTCCAGCTCCTCCTGGAGAATCTATGCTCCCAGACCAGATGGGATGTGCAGTCAGAAGTACTGGGTCCACTCTGGGGTCTCCTCCCAGTTCCTAATGAGTTGTCTGAACCACCTTGGCTGCACTTGGCATGACGGAGCAGCGACTCTACTCCAGGGTCTCTCTGGGTGCCTGAGCTGCTCACCCTGTCGTTAAGGCTGAGCCCAGGGTCCCTACAAAGGACCGGTTTAGTCATAGAACTGTCCCTTCTGCAGTCACACAGGATTCAGGTTGTAGGCCCTCCCCAAGTCCACAAAACACATGTAGACTAGACGGTCACACTTCCATGACCCGTTCAACAACTACACCAAGTAAAAAGCTGGACCACTGCCAGGATGGACTCCGCATGGCTTCTCCTGAATCTGATGGTCAACAAACAGTCCGACAAAAACAATCATCCATCCATCATCTCTACACCTTAATTCTCACTAGGGTCATGGGGGGCTGGAGTCTATCCCAGCTGACTCAGGGTGAAGGCAGGTTCACATGGACAGGTAACCAGTCTATCACAGAGCTACACTTAGAGACAGACAACCAAGCACACTCACATTCACACCTACGGACAATTTACAATCACCAATTAACCTCAGCATGTTTCTGGACTGTGGGAGGAAGCCGGAGAACCCGGAGAGAACCCACGCTGCACGGGGAGAACATGGAGACTCCACGCAGAAAGATCCCGGGTGTCCTCACCGGGACGCCAACCGGCGACCTTCTAGCTGTGAGGCCACGGTGCTAACCACCAAGACACCACTGCAATCGTATCTGCTCTTCAGCTTACAGTCGGTCATGGAGAAAAACATCTGCATGGCTAAAAACACTAAAAACAAACAGCTAACGAATGTGGACTATATGGCAGTGGAAATTTAATAAGCTCATCCATTTCGAGGATCAGACAAGAATCATTAAAGTCAGTATTAGTTTGTCAGCTGCTCATTACTCTCAGTTTGGCTCCACATGTATATGTGACTGAAACATACAAAAGCTACACAGGTGTTGCTGTAGCTTCACAATGTTGAGTCTAGTAAAAGAATAAAAAAGCCATCCTGACCTGTTGTTAAGCATCACAGCCACAACCTGCCGGTGAGAAACAGCATGTTCGGCTGATGTATTCAACATCAAATAAGAAAAAGTGAGGCGTCAGGAGTGAAGGTAGTAATTCCATCTTCCAGCTGAGTGAGTGCAGCTTCAGAGGTTTAGCTCTTCAAAGCCACAGAATGGGACACATTCAGTTTATTTCCCCCCCGACACTTGACTTAATCCAAAATTCAGTTTCTAAACCTCTTAAAAAGCTTCCTGTAAGGACACCTTCATACACACTGATGGAGAACTCAACCTAGTTGTTCATGTTTCCTGATTTATATTTTTTCTGTAACCTTTAGTCTCACCAGTCCATCCCACTGACCTCGAAGAGGACAAAACGCATATCATTCAGAGATGAACCAGATAAACCTTTGAATAGCGATTACAACAACCAGCCTGCACTCCTGTCTGAGGTCCACAGGAACCCAGTGGGTCTGAACACGGCGTCAGCATACGTCCCCAAAGTGCACATCATCGCCGACTACATCATGTGAGTTCACATTTAAACTGTGTGTGATGGTTAAAAACCAAAGCATGGAATCCTGACTTCTGTCAAAAATAAATAAAGTTCTGTCTCTGATAGTCTCATCTGTCGCTTCTCTGTAGGAAATATCCAGAGATCAGCTGTGTGGAGGAAAGGGAAAAGTACAAAGCTGTCTTCAACGACCAGTATCAGGAGTACAAAGACCTCCACAGAGACATCAGCACAACACTGGAGAAGTTCAGAGAGCTGGACGCCATGATGGAGCAGCTCCCCAAGGAGGGCAAGAGCCACAAGGTAAGACAGACCGCTGGTGATGAACCACCTGTGTGATGATCAGGCCTCTGTGTTGGACAGCCATGATCACATTCACTCTGTTCTTCCAACAGGATCAACAAAGGATTCAAAGCATTCTGAAAACGTATCGGCAGAAAAAGAGTGTAAGTGAATACTGCTTCCATTGTGGGTGACTGGAAATTCAGACTAACAGCTAAATGACAGAACGAATGAGGTCATGTGACATTTCACAGAAAAACAGGACAGTAAAAAAAGGTAACGTCGCTTCAGATAATAAAACTTTATGTTTTACAGGATCCTGCGTTCCTGGAGAAAAAGGAACGCTACGACTATCTGAAAGCAAAGTTGAGCTACATTAAAAACAGAATCCGCACTTTTGACCAAGAAACCACATCCAGTGATCGGACATGAAGACGAGCAGAGGGAACATCTGCAGCCACTGAAGAACAGACAAAATAAATAAAATAATGTTGTTTCATCTCTTTGTTTCGTATTAAAAGCACTGAATATGTTGTAATTTGAGTTAAAAACATCCTTTTTAAATCCAGACTAGATGCATTATTGGAAATCAATGCGTGGTTTTTAACATAAAAATGACACCTGAGCATTAAGAGAACAGACTCCTTCTGTACAGTTTTTATTACATATCGATGCAGAAGAATGGAATGTTGAATAGAATGTAGAATGTTTATTATATTTCTGTCATTTCTGTCAAGCCATGCAAATTAAAGTACAGTCAGTCATTGTCACATACGTGCTTGTACAATAAAGTTTATTTTTACTCATATATGTTAATGCTGTTGATTATTTACAGTGCCATTTTATATTTCCTTTATAACTTCTTTTTATACTGATAAACTAAATGAACTACACGCTTGTTAAACTGACATCAGTTTACAAATACAGTCGTCCTCAGATGTATTCATCCCCGTCCATTAAATAAAAGGCGAAACTCAGTCACTGAAATAACTAGAAACTGAAAAAAGTAATAATAAATAAATATTTACTAAATTATAATTTAGTGAAATGAGACGTTGCTTTTGAATTGTGGTTGAAAAGAATAATGTAAAAAAACAAAAACAGACCAATGAGAGGCCTTTCCTGATGAGCAGTGGTCCAGAATACCTGTCAACAGGTGCAGAAGTCTGACTGAGAGTCACAGGAACACCTGATGGCAGTGATTGGCTCAGAGAGTTGTTCAGCTACATGTTAGTTCATGGGTCCCATCATGCTGGTTTGTTTGTTTTTTTAAAAAGATATTTCTGTTGAACCACAATTCAAAGCAACGTCATGATGTTCATCACATTTTTATTTATTATTACTTTTGTCAGTTTCAGCTTATTCCAGTGACTGAAGCTGTTGTTTTCCTTCTCTAATGGGAGGCTGTGAACACATCTGAGGATGGCTGTATAATATCAGATGGATAAAAATCATGGTGCCAAATGAATCGTACTGAAAACTGTAATTGTTGAATATATCGTCGGTTTATTAGCATACTGGTTACTATGAGACACCAGGAAGCAAACTGTGAGCCAAGTTGTGTTTAATGTTACCATTCAAATCCTTTTAAATTAAATTATTTATTTATGAGTTTTATGGGAATTATTCATGAATAACCAACATAAAACCTTTAACTGGGTGATAAATAAAAATACCTTTGATTGAAGAAGGATTCCTTGAACTCAGTGTAGTTTGTTGGTTGAACATAATTCCATAAAAAGTTGTACTAACTTGAAAACACTGATGTCAGCGTAAAATAAATAAATAAATAAATAATTTTTATTAAGTATTTATTTTCTTTCTTTCCTAAAGCGTAACAATACATTTTGACACTGTGATAAAAACTAGTAATAATAAAACTAAACCACACCGTATCTGATGCTGTCATGAGGACCGAACGGAGAACAGGCTGCTTTAATATTTCATGAGCCTGTTAATGATCACAGGACAAGTGGGATCCGTGGGTCGCTTCGTTCAGTCTGTGGATGAACTGTGTCCCCGCTGAGACACGCAGAAGCTCCCACCGTGACTCACACCGCTCCGTGGGTTTCGTTTACAGTTTTACTCGGTAGAAAATGACGAAGTTTGCGACGGTTGCTGAGCTATAAAACAGACAGAAAAAAAAACAAAAAAAACAGACATGAGTGTCGCTCAGCTGGACGGAGCTGAGGAAGGTTCTCCATAGTGGCCGGTGAGTTGTGTGACATCTGAAGGCTCCTGTTGGTAACGACTGAAGTTATGCACATTTAAAGGAATAATCCCTGTAATTAAGTGTTTAATTCACCTGTTTGACGTGTTGAATGTTTAAGAATGGAACTTAAAGCATGTAAGAATGACTGACAGTTCATTTGTACCTGTGGAAACTGAAGTGGGCAGAGCTCAGAGCTGGAATGTAAAGTGGACAGGAAAATACTTGAGGCTGAAGTGGAATCAACTTCTTTTCATGTGTCCCTGTATGAAGTAAAAGGACCTGAGGAATTAGTTTTGTTGGTTTTCTTCTTTTCTGAGAGCAAACTTTAAATATTAACGACACTATTGATCCAAAAGAAGAAGCCCAAACTGTTCTGCTACGCCTGGCCGGCCTTGTATTTCAGCTTCCCTTCTCCCTCAGCGACACCCAGCAGGTGCACACAGGTAACTCGGTGCAGACGCAGCACAGGGGGCAACTCGACTTCCCCCCCCCGGCAGTAAACACCACGCATGGCTGCCCCGGCTCGCCTCTTATCTGCTGTCTGTCTGAATTATTGAAGTCCGTTGGGTTGAGTTCCTCTGGAGCGATGAAGTGTGGGTCGCCCGATACCGGAGAGGACGGTTCAGGGATGAGCTGAGGTGAAGGAAGGGCAGAGAGGTGCATGTGGCGCAGCAAGAGAAAGTCCTCCAAACTAAAATCTAGTCCTATCACATCAACAACAGCTCTGACAGGACCAGGAACAGGACTTTGGAGGGCATTTTATCCTCCAGAGGACTGAGCCAACAGAAAGTTTGACTGTTTACCACCTTCAGAGCAGCCATTGAATGCACCATTATGAACAGATGAAACATGCATATGCTAACAAACACAACCCGAAGATTAATTTCACCTTCTTTTCCATCCCTCTTCCAGGTGAACTTGCATCAACATCCACTAAGCCATGTACGAGCCTCGGTACTACGACCGCCCCCCCGTGTACAGCCCACCTTACAGCACCACCTCCCACAACTTCTATCCCCCGAGAAGCGTCCGGTCCCCCCAGAGCCAGTATGTCCCCTACACCTACAACCACCCTCCGGACTCCTACTACGCCGAGGAGAGGCCTCAACACTTCTACCGCTGGTTCTCGCCTCCTGGCTTCGTCAAAACCTTCCAAGGAGCCACGGTGCTCATGTGCTTCCTCATCTTCGCCCTTGTGGCTTCGACCTTGGTGTGGGACATGAATGGATTTGGGTACGGGGGCTACGGTGTTGCGGATGCAGGAGGTGTCAGTGGGGTGGGGTCTGGATATTATGGAGGCAGCTATGGCTACGGCGGCTCGTACATGACGCCGCAGTCAGCCAAGGCAGCAATGATTTCCATGGCGGCCATCAACTTCCTGGTCTCGCTGGGGTTCCTGGTGGGGAGTTTCTCTCGGTCGCGGGTCATGCGGGGATGCAAGTTTTACCTCGCTGTCTTCATCTGTGATATCATCTTAGCCGTCCTTCAGGTGAGTAAATATAATTCTGATGATCTTACATTGTGGTATCATCTGTCAGTTAAAGGACAGGGATAGGTGGGTTAACTTGGACTTGGGTAGTTTGAGGTACTTGTCCAGAGTCAGTGTGTTACTTACGGTAGATGGGTGTTGGGTGCTCCCCCACTTTAAAGAGGCAGACAGGAGCACTGGTGTTAGTACTGACTCTGTCCCCTCCCCTAACTGTCACCCTTAATAGGCTTTTTTCCACTGCAGGAACTTGTGAGCTGTTTTAAGGCAGCCCAAAACTTTGTGCATGTTCTGACCACAAGAACTGATAACGGCTGTTTTAGAGGAGTGAAAAAGTACCTGTTCCAGGGTAGGTCCTCTTGAGCAGCCCTGCTGTGCAAGTCTTGGTACTGACTGGGCAAACTCTGGACCACTTTGTAGTCGTCCCCTCCCTAACATCGCCATCAGTGATGTAAAGGTTGCCATATAGGCTAGCATAATAAACCCTAGATTTTTCTATTTCCTATGTGCTAATGAAAAAGGAGTTACGCACAGTAACTACAAATTGTTGTTATTTTGATTGGATCCTGAACTACAATGGAAACACAAGTGCTAAAAGAGCTGGTCAGGAGGCCGTTCTCATGTTTGTGCCACCTGCTCCGGGTTCCTGCATTGTGAAAAAGGGTCAGAATTTACCTCCACAGTTCAATTCAATTCAATTCAATTTTATTTGTATAGCGCATGTTTACAACAACAATCATCTCATAGCGCTTCACAAAGGCAGAGACAGAAACACCCAACAATCCAAAACATTTGGATTCCCTATAAGCTTCAGCAGTCCGTAAGCAGTCCGCAACAGTGGGAAGGAACCGAAAACCCCCACAGGGGAAAAAAAACCTCCGACAGAACCAGGCTCAGGGAAGGACGGCCATCTGCCTCGACCGGTTGGGTGAGAGTGGGATGAATTATACAATTTAGTTTACAGTTAAACAAGTTATTAGAATTTATTGTCCTTTTGTAACAGGAGGCATCATGGTGGGGGGAGCAGGATAAGCAGTTAAGCTATGAAATGTATTTAAGCCACCTTAAAAAGGGGCCAACCTAAAAAAAAGTCAATGTCAGTTGAAGTCTATGTCAGATTTACTGCCATCAGACTGTCCTGTCCAATGGTGAACTGCAGCCACTACAGAACTTTCTTCAAAGCCACCAAACCACTGACAAAAACTGCATTTTATTCTTGCAAAATGCAGAAGTTCTGTTGTGTCACTTTGGACCGTCTGGTGGGTTTGAAAAGAGCAAAGAGGGACACAACCGTCAAAGTTCCTCATCAGAAAGGGCTGTCTGACGCTAAGATGAAGTAGTGAAATAGAAATACCTACACTCAAACTGAGAGGGATTTTTTTAAATGGGCATTTTTTAGGTGGCTGAGATCCATTTTTTGAGTTCTGTACCGTGGTCTCCTACTCACCTGACATGTCACATGCAAACACAACAGATCTGTTAGCAGACGGTTTGCCGTGGCTGTCGGCTCTCTGGTGTTGGGCAGGTAGCATCCGGTAGGTTTTAGACCTTTTTCACAACAAACTGTTTGACCAGTAGAGCTCACAGGGATTCAGATGATAACCATCTGAGGGATCATCAATATAATGGACTCCTTCCACATTACCTGTGATCCACTGTTGATGAACACGTATTGATTAGTTGTGAGCTGGATGGACCCCCCAGCACAACATTTCTTGTGCATAAAATCATTACGGGGATTAAATGTGCCTCTGGTTTGGCTTTCAGGGCATCATCGACATCATCTTTGTGATCGGGGTGAACCCGATGTCTCAGAGCTCGCAGAGTATGTTGTACAACCCCATGCTGATGATGTGTCAGAACATCCAGGGCAGCCCCAGCTTCAGCGCCAGCGCGGGGGCCGGTTTTCCTGGAGGGTTCCCCATGTACAATCAATACCTGCACCACTACTGCTACATGGACCCCGAGGAGGTCAGAGGGAAAAACTCAGCTTTAATCTGCTTAAATCCATTCTATTTTATTTTCATTTCAATCTATAATTCGCTGCATGTCCTCAGGCGGTGGCGTTCGTGTTGGGTCTGTTGGTGGTGTTGGCCTTGTCCCTCGCTGCTTACTATGCCTACAAGACCCGCAGCAAGATCTGGCGCCACGGAAAAGCGAACATCTACTGGGACGAGCCGCTGGTCAGGCCGTCGGAGAGCCAGGACGTACAGGACTGGGTGAGTCATGTGTTGAATATTCATTTGTTCGTGGTATTTCAACAGAGGACGAAGGTGGATGTCGAGCGTAACGAGTCCACGGTGGTTTATTTTCATTCCTGTTTTTTTTTTCCAGCCAGAAAATGAAACAAAAGTGACGTTACTGCTTGTGTTGAGTCCTCAGGGTTCATATAAACACACCGTCCGCTTCTATCATAGCGACCATTGAGTTTCACAAACTCACATTACCTGCCGATGTTGACTCAGAGAACGCTGGTGTTTGTCTGGGGCACACCCAGGTTTCACTCTGACTGATGATTAACCAGAGCAGCGATAAGAGCTGCACAGACACTCTGACAGTCAGGTGGCGTTATACGAACCAGCCAGGAGACGCCTGTACAGTCATTCACTTCACGGTTTAGACCTCAGTTTGTCAGAACAGACATCATCACATTTCCTGCTCAACCTCTGTTCAAGGACGGACTGATTCATGTGTATGTTGTAAATGAACATTGTTGAATAAATATGTCTTAGAAATGTGGAAAGTTTGGACGTACTTTCAGCTGCCAAAATGTTTGCTTACAAAGTCTGTGTTTTGCTGCAGATTTAAGGCACATTGAATCATATATTTCAACAAATATAGCAATTAACAAACCTCCCTTTGAAAACGTGACTGCATATCAGTTAGGTGTGTTTTTTGTTTTACTGGCGTTGACCTCTATATGATTAGCCCCAAACATCAGAACAGCACAGCATCCGATAAGAGGAACTCTTCACACACAAGATGTTGAATGTCGTCCATCCCAGCAGAAGTCTTTGTGTCTCAAATGTTCTGGTGTTGTGGAATACCAACACAGTGCTGTTGCTATGCAGAGGTCTGTGGGTGGGTGGTCCGTGTCAAAGGAACATCCAGGACTCGAGGTTTCCCAGCAGAACATCACATCGGAATGAGAGGATCGATGTTCTTCACTTCTCCTGTCAGTGGTTTTAATGATGTGGCTTATCAGTGTAACTTATCATCCAGTGAAACAGGACAAGAAGTCGGCAGTAACAAGTTCATTCCTGAACAAGCCGGGGCCTCGTATTAACAAAATCGTTGAGTTTTGTGAGTGATGGTTTTATGAACAGAACATTTTAAAGCAGCAGTTTAGTGACGACACACAGCAGCTCATTCAAGGCGTTTTCCGTGTTTCTACTGTTTTCTACAGTTTTTTAAACAACTGAAGACGTCAGAACTTTGACACATTTTAATTTATGGAGTAAATATATGTGTAGGGGACATACTGGCTCTGGGGGGACCGGACGCTTCTCGGGGGATAGAAGTTGTGGGAGGTGGTGCTGTAAGGTGGGCTGTACACTGGGGGGGCGGTCGTAGTACCGAGGCTCGTACATGGCTTAGTGGATGTTGATGCAAGTTCACCTGGAAGAGGGATGGAAAAGAAGGTGAAATTAATCTTCGGGTTGTGTTTGTTAGCATATGCATGTTTCATCTGTTCATAATGGTGCATTCAATGGCTGCTCTGAAGGTGGTAAACAGTCAAACTTTCTGTTGGCTCAGTCCTCTGGAGGATAAAGTCTTCATAGTCGCCAACTTTTGCTTTGATAACAAGCAACCGGCTTCATGAGGTCGGAGCTTTTCCAACAGCGGTTAAGGATTCACACATGTGTTGAGCTGCTTTTCCTTCACACTGCAGTTCAACTCATCCCAAACCATCCATGTGTGACAGGCAGGTTCACCTGGACAGGTAACCAGTCTATCACAGGGCTACACTTAAAGACAGACAACCAAGCACACTCACATTCACACCTACGGACAATTTAGAATCACCAATTAACCTCAGCATGTTTCTGGACTATGGGAGGAAGCTGGAGAACCCGGAGAGAACCCACGCTGCACGGGGAGAACATGGAGACTCCACGCAGACAGATCCCAGGTGTCCTCACCAGGACAGTTTCTGTCCAGTGACTGTGGAGGCCACATCTTCTGAAGTATCACTGCTTGTTTTGACTCATTGCTTTTGGCTGCTGGAGGACACCTGATGGTCATTGCAGTGCTCAATGCTGGTCAGGTGGTACCTTGATCATCACTCCTTCTCCTCCGTGCAGATACCATCTGTTCACCTCCTCTGCTCCTCACAAAGACTGTTTGTCCACTTGCTCTCTGACTATGAGATTGAGCCTCTCCGGTTGTTTCGTTTGTTTTTTTGGATTCCCAAAGAAATTAGCAATACACAAGAAAAAACCAACACTTAGCAGACATTCCTGGTGCCCTCTCAGCCTGAACGTCCTGCTAGAGTGTCAGCGTTCTGGAGCGTCAGTTGTGCAGCAGCTAGCAAGTACTGGTGCTGCCTCGAAGCCCGGCGCTGTTTGTACCGCTCAGCGGTCGCCTCATGTGGTGTTTAGCAGTGATTAATCTATTAGAGTAGTGGCGTGCTATGAATGCATCGTGTCCACCGTGACTCATTTTGGAAAGGAAAGAAACACACTGGGTTCACCAGCGAGGCCTTGGCCCACATTCTACCGATCGCTGCAGAACTGCGGCGCTTCATCGAGATGCAGGGCCTGTTCTGGGGCGCTCTGGCATCGCAGCGAAGACGCTCGCCTTGCAGGGAGGCATATATAATGTATGTGACATGTATAATGTATAAAAAGGGTTGAGTTGCTCTGTGTTGCTGTGTGAATCCCTCCAGAGCGTGGTGGCACTAAATGATTCAGTCTGTGAAGGGCTGCTGCTACTGCACACTGCTGCAGACTGGACTCCTGGCTCAGGAGTCGCTCCCCGTGTTCTGGTGCTGCTTCGTTGTTTAACTGGAAAAGTGATAATTGAGAGAAGAATGTAGGAAAAAGTAGAATAAAAGCAAACTCTGTGCTGTTTCTGAGAGCTGCATGTTGCTTGTGTTCAACAGGAAACCCAGTAAATATGGATTAGCACCAGCAGAACTCAGATTATCAGCAGGATGGGATGAAGTGTGCAGCTCGAGATGAGAGATTTATTTCATTTTATGTTATTAGTGAAAAAAAAAAGGTCAAATTGATGATGAAGAGAAAAAACATCAAGCTAACGGCAACATGTCTGTCAGTTTTTTAAAAAAAGTGACTGTAAATGAAAGTTTTGAGTCATCTTTTCCTGGTTTGTTGTTCTGTGATGGAGGTTTTTGACAATTGTTGACCTTTTATAAACTACAGAATAGAAATATGTGCACATGTATGGGCAGTAATCAGAACAATCTTTAGTTGCAGCCCTGAATACGACCCAGATTTCAGTTTACTGAAAAGCCCAGAACATGACCAACAGCTGAAGCGGTCGCGGCGCCTCCGTGCTGCAGCGGATCGGATCCTACTCCCTGCAGCTTTCCACGCAGACGATGGTCCTGCGACTCCACGTTAATGAGATCTGTTTCACCGTCTGCCTCATTCAGACATCAGCTCGCTGGATCCTCATCCTGTGTGACTGTGATCCAGAAATAGGTCAAAGACTAGAAGTCATTAATGATGCATGGCAGCGTATGACAGCAGATTACACGCGGCGTGATGCAGGTTCACGGTCTCGGGTTCTTTTGTTTCATTCGAGGTGCTTTCTTGCTGGATTTCAGAACCTTTTTCTGCACTTTCAGCGGATTTTACACTGCAGCTGCTGAAATGTTCTGTTTGATAAGCGATTGATTTCACTCCCGCCTCGGTCTGCTCAGCGTGCTGGTCATGATGTGCACACGCTTTAATGTCACGTCGGATGCAATTGAGAGATGTATGTTAGTGCGTTTCCTTGTAATTAATTGGTTCGTTGTTGAACAGAGAGCATTCGAGGTGACGCAGAAGCCTGGAGGACAGGACTGGTGCTCTCTGGGGCTGATGGATGTTCGAGCTTTCACACTGTGTCACGCTGAGGCCAAGGCTGCTGCGTGTGTGTGTGTGTGTGTTTGTCCTACTACATGCATACACGTCTGGCAGCGACACAGCTTCTCTCAGCCAAGTGTTTGTGAACGCAGCGAGCTGTTCAGAACTCTGCAGCTCCTCACTCCACTGCTCATGTGACAGATCCAGAGCTTCTCCTACCAGCATGAAAAACACATCTGACTCCTAGTGAGGACCACCTCGTCTGTATTATGACGCTGAACACACAGAGATCCCACTGTTTGGGTTTCTGTCTCCACATTAAAACACCATCAAACAGGATCTGGTTCATGATCCGACTCTTCTGGTGCCGTTTCAGGTGAATCACGTCGGAGAAGCTCGCAGCACCCAGCAGGCGCCAACGGTCGTCGTGTCGGAGAGAGCGGCGCCGAACCTGAGGGCGGGGAACAGCGTGGTCTCCTACGGCAACGGAGCAGTCAGCATCCACGGTGACGGACATCAGAAGAGTAACAGGTGAGTCGCAGCTGATGGCGCCGTGACGCAGGACGGCGGTCTGAGCTGGAAACAGAAAAACAACATGTGAGCAAAGCGTGTGTCGATCCTGAAGCTTGTGAGGAGACAGACCAAGGCCTCACGTCTGGATCTTCTCAGTTTGAATCATATCAGAGGGTTCTGGTTCTGGTCTTCATTGCAGGAAGTCTAGCATTTTACACACCTAGTTTCAAAATGTTGGTTCAGTCATTGGTGTCCATTCAGGAGGATTTGTTGTCACTCTGGTGATTCCCCAGAGATTTGTTTTAGAGATTCAACTTTGCATTTGCCCAGTTTATTGTTGTCTGACCAAATACCTACAAACATTCCCGTCAGGATCATGTGTGTTTAGTGCTAACTAGCAGCTGTTTGCAGGCTAACATCCATCCATCCATCCATCCATTATCTATGCACCACTTTATCCTCTGTAGAGCGGCCGGAGCCTCTCACGGCCGACTCAGGGTGATGACAGACGGTCAACATGATGAACATTTCACCGACTAGTCATCAACCTGTCATGTACTTAAATAATCTAATACCTGTGTGTTGTTCCTCCACAGCTTCCCTGCAGACAACAGTAACGGCCGCGGCACCGAGCCTCTGTACCAGAACACCAGAGCAGCAGTCTGCTCCAGCAGCTCGTCGGACGAGGCCGACAGCGCCAGGAAGCCTCCGCCTTACTGCATGAAGAAGGAACCGAGGAAGGGCAGAGAAGCTTTACCCACCACTCAGGTGATGGTCGAGTCCCAGTACGAAACCGGGTACACCACAGGAGACACCGGCAACGAGCTGGACCGGGACCACACGGGTTACCTGTACAGGTAATACTGAGGGAGTGTGTTGGTATGCATTTCATACACAGGGGCAGGTACATAATGAAAGAAAACAGATCAGGGTAAATAAATCAGGAAAACACAGACTGTGGCTGTGAAATGCAGTGCAGTCGCTTCTTTAAGCTGTTTAATAGACGTGCAGAAGACTTGTTTAAATGAGTTTCACTGTAGAGCTGTGGAGTCTGCCTGCTGGTCCAGAAGCTCTGCCTCCCCTTAAAGTGTCCCGACGTCATCTTAATTATACAAGGAGGTAGAATGTTGAATATCTGTGTAGATGATGACTAAGCAGGAAAAATAAGCTGCAGCGTCGGTTTTTAAAACCACCTGGTTGTGCCCAATTTAAACATTTAAGCCCAATATTAGAGGAAGCCTTTTTTTTCTCTGATCAGCTGCAGTTTATTCAGGTAATAATAAAATAAATCCTGCTGAGGAACGCTTCTGTCTTGAACTGTTGTAATGATTTTTATTTATTATTGGTAGAGATGCCGATAAAAAAAAAAAAAGCTCTTTCTCGTAGTATGTGGCTCACTAAAAGCTGTAATGATCATTTGTGTATTCAGGCTTTATCCAGAAATCATTTCAGACGAGCAGCGTCACAGGTACAAGAAGGAGTTCGACTCGGACCTGTCGCGCTACAAGAGCCTCTGCACCGAAATGGACGACATCAGCGACCAGATGCACAAGCTGAGCCGGGAGCTGGACACATTGGACGAAGGCTCCATGAAGTACCAGGTAGAGGAAGGAACAGGAGGGAGCCGGGCGGAAAACATGACGGTAGACTGCCAGGAGAGAGTATGTAGTCATGGATAAGGTCATCTGCAGTGAACTGAACATAGACACAAGGTGGTGAGGATGAGCCGAGCCAGAGTCCAGTCGTGTTCGTGTGTGTTTAACTCGTATGGAGGCTCACGTTTAATGCATTGGACGGCATCGCAGGTGTTTTTACTGACTGTACACCTGCAGTCTGCAGTAACACGCAGAACAAACTGAACTCGGTTTCATGCTCAGAGTAGTTTAGGTTTTTAATTCCTCCTCGTCTCACCTCCAGCTGCTCCTGTTTCCGTGGATTCGTTTTGTGTGACATCTTAATTGCTCTATTTATTCCTAATGGTTTTATTACTTTTCTAATTTGCCTTTTTAATAGTTTTCATCACCAGTTTGTATGCACACTCATTCCACTACAGCGTAAACGAGGCCTCTATCTCACTGTAGCTCCGATTTTAAACACAGGTTGAATTCTTTTTCTTTCCATTAGGATTGAATATGTTCTGTACTGTATAATCTTGCAGTACAATTTCACAATTTTATAAAATAATTTATGACATAAAGTCGTCAAACTCCAGTGAGAAAATGTGTTTCTCTGTTTTCAGGGTGTGGCAGACGAGTACAACCGACTGAAGGACCTCAAAAAGGTGAGTGCAATAAAACCCATGGCGTCATAATATGAACTAGTCTGATGTAATTATTGTACTTCCAGCTGAGAAAAGCAGAGTTTTAGATTTCAACTGCTCGCATTCCTGCACTAAACTAAGCGTGTAGCTTAGCTTAGCATAAAGATGACTAGCAGGAGGAAACCTTTGGCCCAAAGGTATCATTTCTCAGCCAGGTGCGCTGAATGCCTGTAATCAGTCAGTTGCTACGTATCGGCCTCATTAAATTTAAATTTACACTAAAATGCTCAACGTACAACTGGTTTGATGTTAAACACGACATTTCCTCGTGTTTCATACCAGACAGAGCAGAGCTAACTGCTTCTGCCTGTTTCCAGTCTTTATGCTAAGCTAAGCTAACAGTCTCCTGATTCCAGCGGTATCTTTAAAGGCCCCATATGGTGGCAGGTAGTTATTTGAGTTTTGTGGTTGTTCTAAACTTGGAGGTAAAGTAAAAGCTGTTCATCTATGAGGAAGAATGTTCCTGCTGCTGGAGCTCAACAGGTGGGCCTCCCAGCTCTACAGGTCAGTAGCTAAGCTACTAGCGTTCCAGCTCAGGAGCTAATAGTCCTCCAGCTTAGACCTGGTCTCATCCTACTGCTTCCAGGTGAGGTCTTCTGCACTGGCTCTCAGTCCACCCGGTGTATTTACCTTGTAAGCTGCTAACGCTAAAATATCTCGAACAAAAACACCAAATATTCTACTGTTGGCTGCAAGAGTGAACACAACAGTCTTCAGGCACTCCCAGCATCTGATCACTAAAGAGCCAGTGGAGTGTTTTTATTTTTGATGGCATTACTACCCCAACAATAGGAAAATACTTAGCGTTGATGCGTGTTAGTGCGGCTAACGTGGCTAATGTTAAAAGCAAATTAAATCATTTCAGTCATAAGTGTTGCATTAGATTAAAAACATGATGATTAGTACATGAGTAGTACCACAGTGTGCACATGAAAATGACCCTGACGTATTCTGCTGCTGCTCTATTTTATTATAATACTATCAGATAATACTGCGGTTGTGTTCTGTCGTGCCTGCGTCTGACTCGGCCCGTTAGTTAGCTCGGGGCTGAAAATGTAGGAAATTCCTGCTCTGAATGAAGTCATTTCCCCAAAGCATGAAGCTAGCGGCGCCGCTGTTCCTGATGGTGATTGTTTAACGGCTGTAAATCTCTGTTTCACTAGACGGCTGACTATCAAGCAAAGAAGAAGCAGTGCAAAGAACTTCGGCAAAAACTTTTCCACATCAAACGTCTGGTGAAAATCTACGACCAAGGTCTGTGTTAGTTAATCAGGTTGAACGTGAGCCTCACTGGGACCTTTAAAACCTCAGCTGTTTCCTAACATTAACATCTTACTGCTGTTGGAGCAGAGCGACTTCTACGTTCTACTCCAGGTTATCTTAGTATGAAGTGAACTGTCAGGCAGTTTGTATGTATATATTTGTGATATATAGTTAAAGATCTAACTTTTTCTTTGACTCACAATTTAAATTGAACATAATTGTTCCAGGATGTTGTTGTTCTGGGAGCTAACATCTGTTTTTATATGAGAATAATGTGACTGAATGGAAGACAAGCAAACTTGATGTCAATAAATGAACAGTTAAACTCCTGTTTTATTTCCATGAATACACGTGTGCGTTGGTGGTTCATGTCGCAGTGTTTATTTGGCATTCTTCATACAGATTACACTTTTTCACGTACTTTGAAAAACAAAAACAAACATAACAGAAGACACATCGTCGTCTTTTGATTCTTTTAATAACGTCTCCATACACACGAGATTTAAAACCTTAAGAACTCAGAAACACAAACATAAGAAAACATTAAAAGTATATTTAGTTTTTTTCTGTTTTTTTGTCCCTCTACAACGTGGTTGTGAGTAGAATAACCTCCACGAGGCCGGCGGTAGATCAAGAAGCAGAGTTACGACTTATCCCGTCTGTAAATGCTGAAATACGTTTTATTGTTTCCTTTAAAATACATGCGGTTTTGTAAACCCGCCTCTTGAAAATCTGTGTGAGGTGAAGCCAGTGGACCCGTCTTCCTGTAATGGTCACATAGTGTGATGTTTTGGCATCGAAGCTCCTCCTGGTGCCGCCCGTCCACCAGATTCTCACCCGTTAACTTCGTCTCACATCGTCCACAGCAGCAGAGACTCGCTCAGCTCTGCCTCCTATCAGCTGTAATGGCATTAAACTTCTGTCTTGACATCTGAAGAGATGACGGAGGTATTCTCATGTAAATTTATGTAGGTAGGAATAAGAAAAAAAACCTTTCAGAGCTACCAGTGAAAGCAATACTTTAATGTTTAAATGAACCTTGAATTACAGAATGTAAAAGAAGGAAACAACTTAGCAGAGATCCAAAACAACATCTGAACATGCAAAAAGACAAAGTTGGCCTCAATATATATGTACACTTCAATAAGAGATGGTTATCTCAGAACCTAACGAACTGGTGTTGAACTGGTAGTGTTGGTTATAAACTCTGGTCACCAGCTACATCTGTCCAGCTAACTCTTAGTATTTCTCTTTATTTCTCGTAGGCTGCTATCTCTCGATTAAAAAAAGCTGGATCCAAACAAAGCCAAACGCGCCTTTTTCAAATTTTTCCGCTCAGTCAAAACTCATATATTCAAACAGACAACTGAAAATCACTTTGGGGGTTTTTCTTTTCAAAAGATACAAGACAAATGCTGGAGATGCACATAAGACTTGTATTTGTCCCAAATCCATACTGAAGAACAAGGCAGTTGTCAAAAAGAAGGCGGTTTCTGGTGAACAACATTTACAGAGGTTCGTGTTTAGGAAATATCAGACTAAAGCATTCTGATGTCTAGTGAGGTATTAGTCCGTTCTTATGTAAGTGTGGCTTTTTTTTTTCTTTTCTTTTTTTAAATCTCCAGCGACCGTGAGCCCTGTGAATGAATCTAAATGCACTCGAGAGTCCGTTCATCTCTAATAATTCTATTTAAAAACCACCTCTGAGGATGACGTGATAGACTTTGGTGAGTTTCCCTTGGTTTTATTTCCATGTCGAGCTGCTCCTCGGCTTCTCTCCTGATTCTGGAGTTTCCCTTCGACGACGAGGCCCGCGGCTTTCAGCCTGTTTAATTAGATCCACTGTCATCATGATGCTGTATCATCATCATCATCATCATCATCATCGCTTGAAAAGGTCGCTGTATCACAAATGGTGAGCCATGGAAAATGAGCCCAGTGTGGGAGAACCGGTTCCCCTGCCTGTCAGTGCAGGACAGTTTTCTGTGTAGCGGGGTGCTGCTGCCCTCTACATGGAGCTGTGGTGTGTTTAGTCACTCGGTGGGTATGTGGGTGGTACATGACTGGCTGTGGCGGCCATATCGGAGCCCAGCGTGAAGAGCTGGTCTCTGGCCTGAGATCTGGCACCAGAACGAACTGCGCTGGCAACAATTCAGCTCCAGCCTGGCGCTCGCTTCTCTGGAGGCCCGCGTGGAGAACGAGGGCTCGGTTGCATGGAGGGGAATTGAGCGGTTACAGTACAGTACATATGACGGCCAGCTGGCACTGCAGTTTGATAACCACACAGATGGATAGTGATGAGTCAGGAGGTTTCCTGTGGGCGCTTGTCGTCACTAATCCCAGACGGAGACCTCGCCCGTCGGGGAGCTACTGTCCTGGGACATACGGCCAGCTGATGGAGCTTCCGGAGAGCTGCATGTCACGGATCAGCGTCTCGATGGGGGTCTTTCCTACCAGGCGCATGAAGAAGAGCTGCGAGATGAGGTTGGCAGGGACGGCGCGCAGGGCCGGCAGGCGTAGGAGCAGCCGGCCGAAGCGCTGAGGCTGACTTGGGTACTGCATCCTCTCGTACTCCGTCAGAGCCACCTGAGCCTTCTCCTGCAGAGACTCCACGTGGACTGGGTCTGTCAGACCACAGGCATCTGGGAGGGAGGGAGGAGGAGGAGGCAGTTACTTAATAGTGTGGGCAGGTTACATAAAGAGTCGTGATGAGCCGAGAGGAAGGTTGAAATCCCAGCAAACAATGTGATAAAACGGCCCCGAGGGGAGCACGCACAAATATAGCTGCTGATCATATGCCTGCACTGGGACAAGCACATCGTTTACACTCTTAAATCTCATTAACGTACTATTGGAAACGCTGTGCTTCCAAAGGTGACACTCACACTCAGGAGTTTCTTTAGGGCAGCCAGTAATGTAAGGATTGGGTCGTATAGCGCACCGTGCTGCTGCGTAATGATTAAAGGTGCCACTAATTACACAGCACATACGACATCACTGCATCTTCCTTCATTAGCCAGAAGAGGGCGCCATAGTCGGCACCTTCCTACATTCTGTTTGAGCTGTCTTCAGGCTGTCAGCAGGTTTCTATTGTTGTCTGGTCGTGTGCGTTTGGACTTAATATTAAGCCTATTTAATCACTGTTATCTCTATTTAAGTCTTCCTGAGGCAGTGGAAACAGCTGGAAAGTTTCCTCTGTGTCTCTGAGCGGTGAACTAAAGCTCAGTATAGCCAGACTTTCTTTCTTAAACCAGTTTAACAAAACCAAAAGTCCTAAAAATGAGCGATAACAAGAGTCACGATGGTGGTTATCAACTCTCAGAGTGTGTTCATCAGACCGAGCGCGCTCCCATAGCGGCGGCGTCTGAAGCATCATGTGACTCTTTCACACAAAACAAATGCTGCCTCCAGTACAGCGCAACAGGTCGTTATGATGGAGAGCTATGAGGAACATAAACATTTATTACGGCATAAAGCCCCATCACAGTAAATGACGCGAGGCGGGAACGCTGGCAGAAAACTGTTCATCACGTGAAGATGGTATTTATTTTAGCGCTCTGGATGGAGCTGCTTATCGCTAAATGCATATGAGAGCTCTTGAACCTCATTTAAACCAGACATTTAGGTCTGACAGTGTCCTCTAATGAAGTGTTCGTGGAAATCACTTTAAAATTATTGGTATTGATAAAATATTCTCTGTGATGAATGGACTAATCAGTTTGCTGCTCTGTGTTCTACGAGCCGCAGTAACAGAGGTGTAGACGCACCTCATCAGCTCACAGCAGAGGCTGAACTACAAGCCGGTCCTCTGATGTTCTGATGTTGGGAAAGAGAGAGCCCAGATTTTTAACTGAAACACTCTTATTGAGTGAGTTTGGTCACATTTATGTGTCTCATTCAGTGACCTCCAGTACTTTGGTCCTATCCAGGACCAAAACCACCTTCATGAAAAGAGCTGCTGTTTAGAGAGGAGCAGAAGCCTGGAGCTCACTGTCTGTACAGATCACAGACACTAAACATATCCAGCAGGGTGTTTTAATGAAGGGACGACTGGCACAGAACACGTGAGCATTCTTCCTCTGTATTGGTGTTATATTTACAGTTTATTATAACCCATCTGCTGCTCTGTATCGGGTTGAAATATAAATCAAATGTTTGATATTTATGATGTATTTTTAATGTTTAGTGAATTGTATTTTTGATTTTCACCCTGGGACCCCAGGATGACAAGCTACCACTCTGTGGGAGCTGATGGGATCCTGATGAAGAATAAAACAGCTGAATGCATGTAGGTTTCCATGGCAACACGTACAGTTTGCGTCCTGTAACTGCACGGCTTCATTCAGCGGGAATACCAATGTGCAGCTCAATAGGTTTGCAGATGTAACCTCAGTATGTGGAGAGTCTGGTCAGGAGAAGAGCTGCTGCTGGACCAGGTTCCCTCAGCATCAGTTACCATGGCGATGCAGCAGGTTAAAAGAGAGCCACCTCTATGACGCTGAAAACTTTAATCTAAGCAAACCTCACTAGCACAGTGATCTCACCTCGGTGTCCAGCCCCCAGTAGGGGCAAATACATCTGATGATGTCATTAGTGACGTTTACCAATCAGGGAAATGTAGGACCAGGTAACAGTGAAGGCATCTCAGCCTCCGTGGACCAGACGTCTACCATCCTGTGGTTATCTGGGTCCACTGAGTCTCTACTAAAAGTCTTGTGTCATGTTGTGGTGTTACAGCAGTCACCTGGTGAGAACAGTGCGATGGCCTTCAGACAGCTGTACTCAGCGGAGTCCACCTGCAGCCGGGTCAGCTTGTCCACCTGGTCCTGGAACACCCTCACCTGGTCCATGAAGGACACCACGCGCTCCGCCGACATGGGCGACGAGTGGAAGCCGGCCGCGGCCAGCAGGGGCGCCATGTGGAGCGGCAGCGCCGACTGGGCCGCATTGAGGATGAAGAGCTCGCTCCAGCTCAGCCTCAGCAGGGCCACCTGTGGGTGTGTTAGCGTGTTAATCGGATCGCCCGCGCTGCTTCATGCAACTTTAATGCTCACTGCATTCATGCTATATTTATGGTGGATGTACACATGACTGTTCAACATCTCTGTTATGATGAGCTGGAAGGTCATCTGATGAGGCAGAATCCTGCAGAAACAAACCTCTTTAATGTGATTTGATTCACTGACCTGGTCCGACACAGGCAACTCTGGGAAGTACGGGATGTTTCTGGCCCACTCCACTGTGCTGAAGAGCAGCCGTGCAGCCAATTCACAGATGTTGTCGATGCCCATGGCGTTGTCCGGACCGGCCTGCTGGTTGTACTGGTGTCCGTAGCGGCTGCTGGGATAAGGCTCAGCTCGCAGCAGCTGGGAGATGAGCTCCGACACCGGCTGGCCTCCGCCGCTTCCTCCGTTGTTGTTGTTGTAAAACTCGCCGCCTCCCAGGCCGCTGGCGCCACCTATGGGCGTGATGGAGGGGCTGAGGCTCGGCTGAGGGGGGATGCGACCGCGTTGAACTGCTGTAGTTTGGTTGGGGGACGATGGGGAGGAGAGGAGGGGAGAGGAGAGGAGGACAGTGTGAAGGACGAGGGGAGGCGAGGGAGGGGATTTGGAGAAGAAAGAAAACCGAGAGGAAGAAAAGTTAAAACTGACTTCAGCCAGCGGTGCATGTCAGATCATCAGCAAACGGGCCTGACCCAATTAGGACTCTATTCTTCAAGATTAAACGGAGGCACAATCGAAGCCAGACTGATTCCTCAACAAGAGCGTGAAAAATGTTCTCATGCTCATCATGCTAAATGAAGGTCGTCTACAGAAATAGAGACGTCCAGACCAGAAATTCCATCAAAATCTTTAAAAAACATTAATTGTGGAGGAGAATGACGACACTGCGTTGCCATGTTTTTTGGCTCATCACCACCTCCAAACACACTGAAGCTTGTTTCTACACTCCAGAGCATCCTGTCAGACTTCGCTTGGTGTGAAGGAAGTCTCCAGACAGACGGCATCACTGCCAAAACTGAGACAGAAGGGGCAGATTACTGAAGAGAAACTCATTCATGTGGGGATTTGAATCCATGTAGGAAGCATCTGTCCTTCAGCGAAGCTCTGACTCAGACACAGGAATGCTGCTCAGTAGCTAAATCTGACCTCTGACCTCCCCGTGGAGCAAAGTGAATGTCCCTGCAGGGACTCGTAACGTGTCTCATTAGCATGTTTTATGATCTGTGAGTATCAGGAAAAAGCAGCTCAGGGAGGATGTTGACAGCCTCCCAGCTCCTATCAAAATAAGATCAAATATACATTTTTACAGCTTCAGTGTTGAGGGGCTTTAAACATTTTGTGTCCAGGCGTCCGTTTGCCGTTTATTGGCCAGAGTGACATTCGCCGATGCCTCACCCGAGCTCCACCACTTAAGGAGAAATCCCCATATTGGATTCTTGCTGATGGAGCCAACAAGTCAGAAGGTTTGTGCAGCTTCAGCCGGAGGCTTAAGGCTCTGGGACGCAGGTGTCTTAGCACTGTATCCCACTCAGTCACTCTTACGCAGGCACTAGATTAAACCACTTAGCACATGGCACTGAGCTGACACGCACGGCTAGCTCAGCCATGCTCGGGCCTCCACAGCCATGTGTGGCGTTTCCTCGGTGCTACGGAGCGGAGGAGGCCAGATAACCACAAACTACTACTACAGCCTGATTGATGCTCCTTTTCTTCTGAAAGCAGCTGATGGGAGTGATGAGGAGACTCTCTGAGGCTCAAGAAGCTACTTCCTGTTTTCAAATTAATATTTTAGTGTTGCCCGTTTACAGTCCTAACACGTCCTGTAGGCACTGCTCTCCCAGAGTTAACGGGAACGGATCCACGGAACCAGCCAGATACCTTCTTTACGCATGCCGACGCGGAAGCACTTCTTCAGGCGACAGTACTGGCACTGGTTCCTGTGGTGCTGGTCAATCTGACACTCTCTGTTGGACCTGAGGGCAACAACAAACAAGAATGTGAGTCACTGTTCATCCATGAAACACACACAGAGGAGTTGTGAGCTGCACTGATGCAGCAGCAGGGAGATGTGATGCAGCTGTCACACGACGACTTTAATCTGGTTTCAGATTATAAAAAAACAATTCAAACTTAATGACAAATGCAGAAGTAATCCCTCCTCCCCGACAGCTGTTCAGTGATGTAAAATCATCATCATCCATTTAAAAACAGTTTGATACACATAAGAAGCTGCTCACAGACTGGATGAGCGTCTGCAGCCTGATGCCGGCGACACTCGGCATTAATACTGCATCATGAAATCAGTTTTCCACAAAGCTGCGGGTGACAATATCACACTTACGGAGCAGATGGTTGTATAAGTTTCAATCACATCTCAGCTGATCATATGTGGACTTCACAGCAAACTCATTGGTTCTCATTCGACTCAAACAGAATGACGAACCGATTCATCAACAAGTGGATCGACACAAGAAGGACTTCTGGAAAGTTTCAGCCATTTTTTCAAGCTCTAAGTTTACATTTGTTAAGTTATAATTACTTTGTTGGCTTTTTTTTAAACGAACAATTTAAAGCCATCCGATAAACTGTTGCAGCAGAAATTGACATACGACAAAACTGATTTAAAATAAATATTTTAAAAATATGTACAAGAGAAAAAAATGAATCTGTAAATCATTTTGGTGGACATTACTGGCAGCTTGAACTTGAAATCTAGAGACAAATGGTCACAATTAAATAGATCGATAGACAGATCGATCGATAGATAGATAGATAGATAGATAGATAGATAGATAGATAGATAGATAGATAGATAGATAGATAGATAGATAGATAGTGTTAGAAAAATGTCTTTTAATATATATTTTACGATATGTTTACTTTATTTGTTGTCAGAGGTAACCATGGGAGAGACAGCAGCCACATGTCCCATGCAAACACATCCTGTTTTCTTAATTTGTCTCACGACTCCAAAAATGTGCCAACATTTAAGGTCATATCCAAAAAGACAAAGAAAACCAGAAGTTCTCACATGTGAGAACATGGACCGGGGAGGTCAACTGGAATTTAAAAAATATTTGATGTTTTTGATCTAAAACTAATTCTCAAACATTCGCTGACTGTTTTCTGTTGATACGATTTTGTTTTAGGAAACTAAAACGTACTGATGTTTCAGTTTATATCCAAAACAACAAAATATTTTTGCCATTCAGGACGCTGGAATTAGAAAATGTTTGATATTTTTTTGTTTATCAAATTCACACAAACATTTGCTGCCTATTGTCTGTCCCTCCACTAAAAAGTAAATACATTTATATAGATTTGATTAAATATTGGTCATCTGAGCTGTGACAAAATAAGCAGAAAGTTATCTCATCTGAGAAGCTTGATATGAAAATATTTGACAATTTTTGTTTGAAGATTTGTCTGAAATAGTTGCTGAACATTGTGTCTGTCCCTTCAATAATTAATAAATATATATGTTTGTTGGTACATGCTGCCATGTGTCTGATGTAAACATATTGTTTACTGAAAGCACTAATATTTAATTTAATGTCCAAAAAGACAAACTGAAAATTCTCACATTTGAGAAGCTTGAATTAGAAAATATTTGACAGTTTTTGTTTTATAATTAACAACAAATTAGCCTCATATATAAATAAATGATGATTATTTGTGAACAATGTTTAATAACCTCCCTGAACACAGAAGCCTTGCTGTCAGAGCTGCATGTTGGTGAATCAGCAGCAGCCATGTGTCTGATGTCAACTTATTCTGTTCACGCGCTGATACTTAATCTAATGTCCAAAAAGACAACAATAAGCGGAACATTATCTAATTTGAGGAGCTCGAATTAGGAAATATTTGACAGTTTTCTTTTGAAAAATCGTCTGTAACAGCTGCTGAACACCGTCAGTTAGTAAAAACTGATCCTCATATAGAAATAAGATGCCTAACGACCTCCCTGGACGCGCAGCCTGCATGCGGACAGGAAGCAGCCATACGTGAACGTGCAGCAGACGCCAGACTACACCTCATGACTCACAGCAGCGTCTCGTGGCTGCTGAGGTCCATCAGCTCCATCACAGTCACGTGACTCTGCGCGTAAACCCCACAACAGCACGCGCTCCAGTTTTTTAATCACATGAACAAAAACAACAACATTACCCATGATGCACCTCTCCCCCCCTCTCTGTGTCTGACCTGCAAGTGTAGTTCAGGTTGCGTCGGACGCTGCGCTTGAAGAAGCTCTTGCAGCCCTCGCACGTGAACACGCCGTAGTGCTTCCCGCTGGACTTGTCCCCGCACACCACGCAGTCCACCACGCAGGCCTTGTCGTCGTCCCCGGCTTCCATGTCGCTGCCTCCCGCCTGCGGAGAGCCGTCCTCCTCCTCCCCCCGCAGGTAGCCCTTGTCCCCCAGCCCGTTGGTGCCCCCGTTGGGATCTCCCCAGCCCCCACTCACCATGGCCATCGCTTGGTTACCGAACCCCCGCAGAAGGAAATGGGACGAGCAGCCAGAAGGTCTCTGGTTGCTGTCAAGGTACCATAAATATCAAAAGAGAGAGAAAACAGTCCAGACTGGCTCCTTCAGCGGGAGAGAATCAGGGTTTCCTGCTCGCTGCTGCTCTCATCAGTGTCTTATTTTTACCCTCAAATTAAAAAATAAAAATGAGAAGCTCCAGGCTGAGCTGAGATGTCAGTGAGAGGAGCAGAGAAAGCCCTGAGCCAGTCTCCTCCCCCTCCACTATGACCTGGAAACAGTCTCTCTGGCAACTTTTAGTTTTGCTTGCCTGGTGATTTCCTTTTTTTCCTCTTTTCTTGTCCCCCCGTCCGGTTCGTAGCTCCTCCGTGTGCTGTCCTTCCTTCCTTTCTTTCTCTGGAGCTCTTCCTGAGACGGTCGAGCGGCTTCACGCTCTGAGAACCTTTCACAGGAGACAACGAGTCAAACACACAGAATCAGACTGACATGAGCTGAGGTCTGTCCCTCCATGCTGCTGCTGCTGCTGCTGCTTCACTCTGGCAGTAATGGCTGAAAAAGGAGCTCGGTGCAGCTCGCCTTAGCACATGCCTGGAGAGGATCTGACCGCCCCTCTTAAAGCAGCCCTCACACTGAATCTGTCTGCAGCTATTCCCCCTCTATGAGGCGCCGTGTGGCTGCACGGCTCGTACAAACGATGCTTACCTTCACGATAATGTGTAGAAATCTCTTTCTCCTCTTCCTTCCATGCAGAGTGCAGCTCCCCCCTCTACTCTGCTGTAATCCTCTCAGCGGCGGCGGCGTGAGCCATGATGAAGATATTCCAGATCAACAACATCACTTTCATGTGTTTGGAGGCGACGCCAGCTGCAGCTGCAGCAGCCGACGAGGCGACGTGGAGCAGATCCTCCACACGAGGAAGTGCTCTCTCTCTCTCTCTCTCTCTCTCTCTGCTCCTCGTTGTAGCTTCTCGAGTGCTCGGTTCTGACTGGATCCTCTGAGCTGCTGCTTCCTTACAACAACAACAACAAAAAGCAGCAGAGCGTCCGGCTGCTCGGCCCTCCGTGGTTCCTGTGGTGGCTTCTCCCCTGCAGCCTTTTGTCAGTGCTTGCCCACCAAGAACTAATGACTCGCGGCCTAGCCCTGTGTGTGTGTGTGTGCGTGTGTGTATGTGTGTGTGTGTGTGTGCGTGTGTGTGTGCAGCCTTTCCCTATGGCTGAACAAGAGGAGGAGGAGGAGGAAGGGGGGAGGCTGGAGATGGGAGCTCCTCTTCCCCCTCTCTCTCTCGCTCTCTCTCTCCGGCTTCCACCAAATCAGATTAGGATTGAAGGAAATGGCCGGTGCTCTCTGCTCGCCTTCTTCCTCTTCTTCCTCCTCCAGCCTGTTTGTGTGTTTGAGAGAGAGATCAAGCAAAGCAGAGCGAGTGAGCGAGGGAGGGAGGCAGGAGTGTATGCAGAGGGGGAGGGGGCAGCCTATGTGTGTGCTCCCAGGGATTTGACACTGCTATTCAAGCCCTGTGGTTACCATGGCGCCGGCTGCCTTATATGGCCATCGGAGTCAAAGAGCAAAGAGAGTGGGTTGCGCGGGGCAGCGTGCACGCAAACACACACGCAGCGGGAATGTGGAGGATGTCGTTCCTCGGAGATGCAGAGAGCGTGACCCCGAGGCCTCCGAAACCCGCCCCGGACTACCCCGAAGCCCCGCAAAACAAATGCGAGCGAGGCCGTCTCCCGCCTGCCCTTTGTCTTCCCAGCCAGCAATCAGAGAAATGTTGCATCCAAGCTGTTAGAAAGAAGGAAGGAGAACGTGGTGAGGATGCTTCAGGAGCGCTGAAGTGAAGCTTTAGCTGCTCTTTTCTGTGTTTGTGTGCTCGAGGCCCCCCCCCCCAACCACCACCACATCAACCCGAGAGGTCAAGCTGACTTTCACGCCCCCGGCCGGCTCCAAGCCCAGGGTCAAATGGAGATAAAGGAGCAGGAGAGCGTGCACCACGACTCCTGGATAAGAGCTTTAAGAGATAAGTGATGAATCTGCTTGTAAATGTGCAGCTTCTCGGGCCGGGCCGGGCCGGGTCGGGGGGGTTTGGACGGATGAAAGAGAGCCTCGCCATGGGCAACTTGTTGTCTTATCTACAGCCAGATTACACATTCTAAAGGCATTTTTCTTTCCCTCCTCTCCCCCCCGTAGGCACTTTTATGGCATTCCTCAATCTAAACAGCCCAGCTCCACCCCCCAGGACACGGTGTGAGTGCCACAGAGCAGCATTGTGCCGAGCATTGTGGAGCTAATGGGTCATCAGAGGGCTGTGTGTGTGTTGATTTGAATGAAAGTCCCTTTAATTAGGCCTCTGTGCCTGCTTATTGTCACTTCTTGTGTTGGGAAAGATTAGGCTTGTCAAATAAAGGCAGCTTGTAAAGGGACTGAGATATCCGACAGGGTGCCGGATCAATACCGGTCTATCTGGAAAACGGTAAATTTCAAGCGAGTCGCGCCCAGTGATTGTGTTTTAGGAGACGTTTTTGAGCGCTGATTTACAGTTTATGTCTAGAATGAGTGAGATTTGTTTTGTGTTGTTGCTGCAGCGCTTGTTGTGAGGAGGAGCATGCACGTTTATTCCACCGTGTGGCTGTTCCCGTGCTCTGTATGTACTCCTACTGGCTCTTTCTGTACATATTTATATATTTGTCTTTTTTATGCCTGTATTTTGCACCACTGGAGTTGTCTTTACATTTTTTGTGTATGATGACAATAAAACCATTCTATTCTATTCTATTCTGTTGTCTTCTGTAAACTGATGGAGGCAGAACCAGGTTTGTCTAACCTTGTTTTGTGAGCTCCTGTGGATTCCAACCCCTGGATAGCAGGACACGTCATGTACGTTCCCAACAAACCAAAGGAATATTGAGCAATGTAGACGATTAAAATAGCATCAGACAGACTGGTTGTGATGTGAGATGGGGAAACACGACACACTTTGGATAATTTTCACCAGAAAAACACCAACAACCAGCAGCAGCAGCTCTGCCTGTCATTTCCACTTCAGAGTGCCTATCTGTTTCCGCGGTACCACTGGGGGCAGGAGTGACGTGGCCTTTGAACCGTCAGGCAGGAATGCGGTTGCTCCCAGCGAGGAATCCAGAAATGCAAGACTGCAAGAAAAATAAAGTCTGTCAAGCTGCCAATCAGACGGTAAACATCCACACACAGAATACACATAGAAGGGCAACGCACAGCTGTCTGGTGGCGGCTTACAGCTAGAGGTGGTCTGTAAGTTAAAGAAGGGTACAGTGTGAAACCAACAGCAGTAATAGGAATGTGTGCTGCTTGTAGTTCACCAGACTGTAGTATAGTCTAGTGTAGCATAATATAGTACAGTATAGCAGCAGATAGAGAGCAGAGAGGACGTCTTCTTCAAGGCCTTTCTTAATATTCTCTAAACCAAATACAGTCATGACTCGATAATCCAACACTAAATGTAAAACCGTCTTCTATGTCAGATAGCAAGGCTGTCGGATTGTCAAGACGGAGGTCCAGATACAAGGAGGGCTTGATGCTGGAAGGCTGATTAGTTGTTAATTATAGTTGTTATAATAACTAGTAGGGCTGGTCCCAATAGCACTTTCTGCTCTCTGGATGTTCAGGCCCAATTAATGATGAATATCAGAACATTCGGTGCGGTCGGGGTACACTTCCACCCCGGGGCAGCGCTCTGACGGGGTGGAAGTGTCCAGAACACGCAGGCAGCACTTGGCTGCTGATGCTAGTTTAGTTAGCGCTCACACTTCTGTTTCCTCCATCGGTGGCGGCGGGGGAGTGGCAGATACGCTCCACCGTTACCATCCATGTTTACTTCCGTAAACACTGAGCACGCTCGCTGCATGTGACGTCGTCGTGTCCTCTTCTGCGCATGCGGGACACTTTTGGGTCGTATAAAGTTCACACAGCAGTTCACATACAAGTCGCATTTAACTGGAAATATGAAGGAACTCACAAAGAAATCCTCATTGAGCATCAAGTCCTGCAGTGTGAACGTAGCCAATCTGTGGGATTGTTCAGTCAAATAATACACCGTTTTCCTGATTGGTGGCATTATATGTCATGTTGGAGTCAGAATCCAAGGCTGTCGCTATGCTAAGGCTGTTTTTATGGGTTCTGTTGGTTTATATATATATATATATATATATATATGTCACCTGTTGTCAATAATGGAAACAATAGCTATAGAGACCAAAATATTTTTGTATATCCGTCTGTAAACATGTTTATTTCTGCTGTGTAATTGGGCATTTTTACATGAGGGTCTACTGGGTTTGACTCACTTTTGGAGCTGACCCCAAGTGGTTGTTTGAAGAACTGCACCAAAGGTTGCTGCTAAACTATCAGCAGTGTGGTACTGATAGGTTCCAGTATGTACATAGTCTACATATTGTGCATATCTGAAAAGGGAATTTTTCATTTTCACTCCACCAAACTCGTGAATTTGTCTTTCTGCAATTTAGAGGACAATCGAAATCTGCATACGGTTTTGTTTTGTATTTTTTGCAGCAGCCATTTCCTGCCGTTCCAGGGTTAACCGGGGTTACCGACAGCAGGGAGTGTAAATAATTAAACGGTTGTACTCTACAGAAGGGTACACACATTTGTATGCACCACCATGATGGTCAGTGTTGGTACCAGCAGGTTGGACATCATGTCTGCCTCCTCTTCACCTCCTGCACTCGACGGCGCTCTTCTTCGGTCACTGTGTTTCCCTGAGAGTGATTCATCGCCAACAGTTTGTAAACGGAGCAAAACGATGGATTGGAATGTCTCTGATCAAACATTGTCTTTGTCCAGCTGGCTGTGTGCTGCTCTGTTGGGGTGAAGGGGCTCTGAGCTTGTTGTAGATGGGAGAACATAAGGAACCAGTCATGGCTGTCATTTAACACCTTTCTTTGAGGGTGAGCATTGGGACTGTAGCATGTGAGCTCCTGCTGTGACAAACGTGAAAAGTATGTATTATGTTTTGTTTCAAATCTTTCTGGAGCCGCGGGACACTGTGATGCCTCACCTGGATGAGCTGGAGTCCCATGTTCAGGGGCTACAGTCCCAGATGCAGAGGTCATGGGTTCGAGTCCCGCTCATGGCCCTTTCCTGCAGGTCCTTCCCCCATCCTTTTGATTTTCTATCAAACAAAGGCAAAAAACAGGCCCAAAAGAATCTTAAAATCTATCTGGAGCCGGTAACAAGTGGTTGGTTTGCTGAGTTCAGTGGAGAACGTTGATATGTGAAGGGAACAATAAAGGTCCTTGTGCATCTTCAGCTTGAATTACTGCAAAGATGGTTCATTTCACCGTGACTCCTCGTTACCGTCCTGTTTTAAATGGGCTGTTTAGCTTAAGGGCTGCAGGTGTCTCGGTGGTTAGCACCGTGGCCTCACAGCTAGAAGGTCGCCGGTTGGCGTCCCGGTGAGGACACCCAGGATCTTTCTGCGTGGAGTCTCCATGTTCTCCCCGTGCAGCGTGGGTTCTCTCTGGGTTCTCCGGCTTCCTCCCACAGTCCAGAAACATGCTGAGGTTAATTGGTGATTGTAAATTGTCCGTAGGTGTGAATGTGAGTGTGCTTGGTTGTCTGTCTCTAAGTGTAGCCCTGTGATAGACTGGTTACCTGTCCAGGTGAACCTGCCTTCACCCTGAGTCAGCTGGGATAGACTCCGCCCCCCGCGGCCCGAGTGAGGATTAAGGTGTAGAGATGATGGATGGATGGATGTTTAGCTGAACTGTCTGGACCCCCTTCAGGAAGAAGACTCTGTCTGTATCTGTAGTCGACAGAGTTGATATCACGGCTTCTGACCGACCAGACTGTCACTTCTCACTGTGAGTGATCATTTGACATGGAAGCATCACAGTTTTTAACTCACGTGTAGGATGTCGAACCACGTTGTGGTTCTAGTAGTTTCAGGGCAGCAGCTTGAAAAGGTCTCTGAAGCACCAGCAGGTTAACCCGGAGTCTTAGCGGCTGGGTTTCAGTCGCTGATTTGTACTTGTTCTGTCGTCTGACAACAGAAAACATGTAAATGAGAACAGCTATGTTGGGAATTCAGCTGCATCCTCATTTTAAATTCCTAACTTCATACATCCCACATACATGCTGCATTCCTTCATATGGATTCAGAAATTTAATACTTGAT